AGGCATTATTGTCGCACATGACTCGTCTAGCTGTACCATCTATGCACAGTCGTGTGTGTCTGGCTTGTGCCGCCCGATGCACACCGCACCAGTATTCATGGCACACCGAGACATAGCGGTCACGTGTTAGTCTGTCTGGCGGTGGTCGAAGTGGGCTACAGTGTTCAGTCAATGAGGCCATTGGGAGCATCTCGTTCGCGTCGACATTGCCTATCCACCTGTGTGGCTTCCGTGCGTGCGACGGCCTCTGCCCTTCCACCGGCGGAGACGCCCGCGCCGCCCTGGGGCAAATCTTTGAAACTGTCAGGTCCTCAACGCACCAATCAAGCGTCGTTCCAAAAATACCGACCAATGGCCTTTCAGGTGAGACATCGAACTCGACGCGAACCATCTGCCTTCTCGCCACGGTGGCACCACGGCAGGCTGCCATTGCGACGTTCAGGCGAGCAAACGCCACAGCAACACGCCCCCATGTTCCTGCGGTCGCAATCTTCTACCGCCATTGAGCGATCGTATTGTCTTGAACAGAGCGGCGACGTCTCCATGAGCCCTCCCTCGTCGACGTACAACCTTGGCGCGGACATCGTCATCGACCCTCGACTTTTCGTGTCCCCGGCGCAGTGGGTTGACAAGAGGTGCGTGCTTCCTATCTCTTTTGGACCCGCGGTTGCCTCATGTGGTCGCGCCATCCTGAATATGCAATAGCTCTCGCAGTCGATGCCTCGTTTGCGTGCGCGACTTTAACCCTGTCTGGCGCAAAAAGCACACGTGCCGCATGTGTGGCGACGTCGTATGCAGCCGCTGCTCCGTCCACAAGCACGTCGATGTTCCATTAAAAGACAACTTGTTTCGCATCTGCACGTGGTGCTTTCTCCGCGTGCGGCAGGCGCCACCGGCGGCGGCGGTCATGGCGGTCAAAGACATTGGGGACTCGTCTTTCCTCGACAACGATCAGACACGGGCCACGGAAGACGCCGATGATGTCCAGTCGGAAGACGATGATGGCTTGATGTACGACGTGGCAATCGTCGAGGATTTTGTCGATCCCGACTTGGAATTGCTCAAGATGCGGGAGCAAGAGCTCGAAGCGCAAGTGGCCGAGAGTCGTCTCAAGGTGCAGTCGCTCGAGGCCAAGATCCAAGACACCGAGCGCCAAGTACACTTGACAGCGCAGCAACAAAAGGAGCTCGCGGATGCCCGCGCGTTGATCGCCGACCTCCAGCGGCAGCTCCATGAAAAGGAAGATGCGCACTACACCACTCGAATGACACTTCACGAAGATTCGTTCCACCATCGCATGACGCTGTCCGGAATGACTTCAACTGGGCGGCGGCCGTCGAGCGCTTCAGCGCCACATCATCGTGCTGCCCCGCCCCCACTCCACAGCCAGCCGCCGTCCTCGACTTCAACCAGTCCCGACGACGACGCCGCGCGGCTGCGACGACAACTCGCAAAGATGGCCCGTCAAATGGCCCAGGCGGGACTCCATGTTGCTGACGACATTCCGTACGCCGAGGCAAAACAACGAGTGGCCGAAATCTCCCGCCGCATGCAGGTTATCGGGTCCGCCGAAGTCGTGGTCCATGGCAATCCAGCGCAGCAGGCGGCCCTTCGCAAGGAGTACTTTCAGCTTGAGCAGGATATGGAAAGGTACAACACAGCGCTCATGGTGTCGGACGAGTACGTGGCAGAGCAAGCTGCTCTCGCCAAGCAGTGGGAAGACCAGCATGCAGCGGTTAACGAAGCGGCGCTGCGCCAACTTCGCAGCTGTGTTCCTGTCAACGTCACCATGCTTAGCGAGAAGCAGCTCGCTGATCAGCTGCGATCCCCCGCTCTGGCCCGCAAGCTCAAGCGAACGAATGTACTTGCGCTGTGCCGCGCCGACCCGTCAACCATTCAACGGATGCACCCGAGCCTCGTGGAAGGGTACCGCCTCGTGGGGTTGAGCGTATTGGAGCGCAGGGCATTGCATGTCGTGCTGGCGGCGCCGATGGCGGAATGGCGGAAGCATGCAAATGACGAACTGGCCAAGCGCAAGCTCGCTTGGGCCACGAAACTTCGCGACGCACTAGTGGCAGCGGTCGCAACGTACGACGCTCATATAGGCACGTCGTCAGAGGCGTCACATTCATGCAATCAGCGCCACCAGTGTCCTGTCGTGCTGGAAGCGAAGGCTCGGGCGCTGTATGCGACAGATCTTGGCTATCCACAAGAGGCTGTGTACCACGTCCAAGCCATCGTCCAGGCGTCAGCCCCATCGTCTTCTCCATCGGCAGATGCGATCGCTGCAGACGCCGCCGCGAAAGCTCGGTCTCAAGAGCAGTTGGTGATGGTCAAGCAGCACTACAAGGGCAACGTTTTGCAGGTGACCCAAGCAATGGGTGCCATTGAAGAGATGGAAACAACGCTGGCCGCACTGGCCGCCGCGGAGGAAGCGCTTGTGTTGCAGCATGGCAAAGACAAGGAGCGTTTGGCGGCGCTCGTGCAGTCAGCGCGCGACGCGATTGCGGCGATCGCAAAACGGAGCGGCATTTGCCTCGTCGGCAAGCGCGACCGGGCAAAGGAAAGAGAGGACGGACGCAGCCGCGTCGAAGCAGCTGTGGCGTACGCGGTCACGACATACGTAGACGACATGCGTGACGAAATGGAAGTCCACATGCTGTGCGTCGACCCGGTGCACAAGAGCGTCGTGTGGCTACAGGCGCTGGCGACGCTCCTGCAGGACGTGAAAACCCGCAACGCTGCCAAGTTGCAGAGCGGCATCGAGGACGCTCCAGCGTGCTGTGTATCGATCAAACGACTGTCGTGGAAGGATATCAAGGCCGGCAAGTCCCTCGTCCAAGCATCAACGCGGCCGCTGCCCACCACGTTGCAACTTTCTCTGTCGCCTGGGAACCAAGCGCCACAACCAGCCCGACCACCGGCAAACTTTTTAGAGGAGCTGAAAAAGGCCAAAGTGGCCAAAGCATCGACCCCTGCCCATGACATGCTGGCCAAGATTCGCGCGCGGCGCACCAGCAAGGCCGACAACCCTCCAACTAACTCTAGCGGGCAACCGACCAAGTCGGCATAGAATAGCGTGGACGTATATAGCACACTGGTTCGATTCCCACGCAGCCTACTGCCTACAGCATCCACGGCGAGGTTGTGCGGTGGAGGGTCAGCTTGGACGTGCCAAGAAGCATTGTCCGCAATGCCTCGGGACGGAGGGAGCTGATGGGGAGGCCGTTTACGGCCACAAGTCTGTCGCCAGGCTGAATCTGGACTTGCAACGTCGATGAGGTAACTTCCGAGACCACCACAACGAGCGCGTCGTTGCAATAAAAGAGTTGGAGCGTTAGCCCTTGAGGCTGTACGGCGCCGACGACCTCCCATTCGACTGTGAATTCGTGTGGAGGCTGGACGGACGACGGAGAGATCATGTCGGGGGTGGCATCAAGGGCTTCGATGCTACTACATTGCGTGATGAGGCAAGCAGCACGTGCTTCGACGTCGAGATGTCGTCCTACCCATGCCGCCGAAATAGCATCGAGACGGGCTTTTGCGTTGAATGGAGGAAATCGAGGCATGTTGCGAGCGAAAACGCGCGCATGGGCACTCCCGCGACAGACACCAAGATGTCGCCGACCCCGAGACACCCGTGGGACGCTGCCAGACCGTTCCCCGTGCAAAACTTGATCTCCAAATGTCCGCTGGTCGGGTGCTTCTGCAGCGCAATGCCCAGAGATTCCCCCGACCACCGCAGCATCGTAAACACGTTGTGTGAAGTTGAGAGAGGGAAGAACTCTGTCTTTCCCAATCGAGCGCGCGCGTCGTCCACGTCGAAATCGCTCCCGGGCGGCGCCGAATCCGGTTGCAAGAACGGGACTGTTGACGGCGGAGGCAACGTCACGATGCCATCGTCTTCGTCACGCGATGAAATCGACGACGGAATCGAGGGGGCGGGCGAGGCAGCCTCCACCTCGGGCTCACTGGCAGGTGGCGAAACGACGAGAGCTCGCCGAAAGTGCAGCAAGGCTGGCTTAGCCACGGCGCGTAGTCGATCGACAGTCGCGTCAAATCCAAGCAAGATGGCCGAAATGTCATTGATGGCCACGAGTTCATCGCCAGAGCGGAGGTGGGCCAGTTCAGGATTTGCCACCAAATCCACCGCGTCGGTGACGTGCTTGATAATGGATCGGTTCCGAATATTCTGTAGGACGAGCCCAAGGGTTGCGCTCTGCCACTGGACGGTGAGAATTTGAACGCCGGGGCGCGGGTCGGTTGTGCTGGATGAGTCAGCCGATGGAACTGAATCGAACGACTAGAGATGACGTGCTGTAGAAGGCAAGGCTGACGTACGTACCAGACGATGGCGCGTGGCTTGGCGGCACGACGATGTGGCTGCCGTCTCGCAGCGCCACGGTAGTGCCATGCGTGAGGTCGACCTCTTGTATGCCCTACGATCGACATGCCGTTGTTCTCAAATCAACACAATCGTCGAGGTCATTGCACACCTCGTCGCTGCAAACAGAGAAGACCAAACTATCCAGGCAGTACGATCGACTGTGCGGGGAGCTCGTCCAATGCTGCTGCCGTGCGTCCAAGCCAATGCTCTTACTGCGGCGTGAGGGCTTGTCGAGCAGCCTGCCAACCTTTAACGGGTACCGCAGGAGGTTCGAGAAGCCTGGTGTGATGGTGGGCGATGAATATCGCGACGCTGCATGCAGCCCCTCCGTCGGAGCTCCCACGTGGCTGTCACTGGCTGAGCGTCGCATTGGGCTTTAGCGCTGCGTCGTCAAGAAAGTGGCCCATCGATGCTGCCACCTGGTGGTCCCGTGCGTGTCGCGCCTCTGCACGGCGATTGGGTTGCGTTTCGATTGGTTCGTTCCACCTTGAACACGACGTTTGATTGGCTAAATTTGACACGGATCGTTCGTGCGCAGTCGAGCGTGAGATGCCGGACCACGCCGCGCGCGGCCAACCGAGCCAGCGCTTCCACCGCAACCGCTTCCGCCCGACGCCGTTCATGGAGGTGATCCATTCGAGTACGCCACCAGCCACGGATACCTTGGCCCGTCTCCAAACCGAAAGCGCTCGAAGGCGGCACTCGTTGCACGAATACCGCCAGTTGGCCACCGCTCAGCCAACCGCGCAAGCCACAGGTGCCCATACGACACCACCATCGAGTGCATCTGCAGCGCACAATGTACCGAGCCACCCACGCCCTCGAGCTCAATTGTACATTGTCGACTGGGTACAAGACGCGCCCCTCGGTATCACGTTTCACCGGCGTGCCGATCAAGACACAGTGGTCAAGGGATCGACCCACTCGAACGTGGCAGTGGGGGACTCCCTCGTGGCCATCAACGCCACATCCACGCTACAAATGGACTACTTGGAGACGATGGCTGCGCTTCGTCAAGTTCAAAAACCAGCTACACTCACGTTCTCCAGGCCCGTGGACGTTATCTCCCATTCTCAGCATGCCGTCCGCACCAGTCCGATCGGCGAGGCGGCGCCAGGTGAAGGGACAACAGAGCAGCTACTGAACGCTGAGCTTCGAAGCGCGCGAGTTCAGTCCGACGACATGCACGAATTTCTCTCGCAGTTTACGCAGCACACTCACGTCGACGACTCGGCCTTGTCCAATACGTCGTCGATCGGCTACACACACCTCTCGACTCCCACCAGCGCGTGCACGTTGGCATATTGCTTGTGCGCTAGCTGTCACATCACCGGGAATGCCTCAGCTACGACGCGTTTGACCGCGTCGGAGGTCATGACGGACCACCTGATCGATGTGTTCGACGGTTTCGCGTCGACCGCGCTGTCCACGTCATCTTCCTTCGTCAGCACAGTGTCAACATTTGATCGCGGCCGACACAGTGCAGCATCGTCGCCACCGCCGTCTCCACCACGAGCGATTCCGTTGCGCGTCCATGGGATTACAACTTGCCAAGATGCTGGCACCATGACCGACTTGGACGAGCCGTCTGCGCCAGACCTTCCTGACGTCGACGCGCCTGACACCGACCGTCTCGAGCGAGACACCGTCGTCGTTGTCACAAGCATCCCCGCGGCGACACCCGTCATGGCAGCGGAGAAGTCCCGACCAGGACAACCAACGGCGCCGCCCACCGAGCCAACTGGAGGTCCGCCGGTGGCTAGTCTTGGCCACTTCATCCATCACGTGTTGGCTAGTTTCACCGCCCCAAACAAACTGCGCTGCCAGTCATCCTCGGTCCCCATCTCTGCAGGACAACATGCTTCCGCCCTGCCGGTCCCAACCCCTCGCACCCAGTCGTACACGGTGGAGTGGTCGTCGCCGCCACTTGGCCTTGTGCTCAAGCGCGTGCGCGAGTGTGTCGTCATTGCTGAAGTCACGTCCGCCGCTGCCGATACGTCGACCGAGTTTGCCGTCAACGACAAGCTCGTTGCTGTAAATGGCATCCGCGTTGCTGACGTCGGGTTTCACCACGCCGTGCAGTTGCTCCAAGCGCTGTCAAAACCCGTCGTGCTGTCGTTCCGGCGACCAGCCACGTGACGCGGTGCAAGAACAGTCGTATTCGTTCAGGCGGCTTCCAGCCGTCGTTGCTCAGCACGTGCACACAAAACTCTATGCGGATTAACTTAGACGTCTTCGTCTTCGCCCGTTCGACGAAACACGAGAAACGTGGGCTTTCGCGCGAGCTGGATCACATGCATCGCGGCGGTGAGCGACACGTTGGACAGTTGGACGTCTCCCGCAGACATGAGGACGTCTCCAACTCGGATAATGGACGACTGGGCGGCGAGACCGTCTCCAGTCAGCCGCATGACACAGTTCTCGTCGTCGCTGTTCTTGGTCACGGCGATCCCGAGCGGCCCGCCCTCCCACACGATCGAATACACGGTCGAGTGCTTGCTCGACGACTTGAACCGCTTCGGCATGTACACGCTGCCTCGTTGCGGAGTCGATGGATCCACGGGGAGAAAACCATCCGAAACACTCGAGTTCAATCCGCCACCGAGCGCGTTGTCGTAGCTGTTGGTCGACATGTCCAACGTCGGCACGCTTGCGGAACTTGCGACGCTGTTGCGCGCCTGCTGCTCTCGACGCAAAAATACGAGCGACACCGGCGTCTTGGCCTGCTTGAGAACGCGAGAAGTTTCTGCCAACGTGCTGTACTGGACGATTGTGGTGCCGCACTGGACGAGCACGTCGCCAGGTTGGATGATGTCCGACTTGCCAGCCAACCCGCCGCCCGTTAGCGCTTTGACACAGATTTCGTCTTGCTTGTTTCGCTTGATCGCGAGGCCGAGGGGACCGCCCCGCCACAAAATCGAGTAGAGTGTTTTGGGTTCGCTGATGGATGCGTCGTCCGGTGCGGAGTCTGAAAACGGGGTGGACATCGCGATAGGCGGCGGGGTCGGAGGCATCGACACGGACGACATTGACCGAGACGACATCGATCGCGACGACATCGACAGAATCGGGACGTCTTCCGGCGCGATCGTCGAATAGTCCTCTTGAATGGAGTCATCGTCGTCGTCTTCTTCGTCAATGTCGACTTCGCCATCGTCCAGCGATACTGTGTCCATGGAAGATACCGGAGGTTGGGGGTCTACAACTGACATAGTCACTTGATTTGGCAAGAAATCTGGCGTCATCGAGCGATTCGACAGGAACTCAGTCGACGACGACAACGACTCTGACGACGACTGGTAGTCGGACAAGTCCAAGCTGTCAAGGGACTCTGCGCTTTGGGACTTGGACAATGCCGTGTCGTAGAGCGGGACCATCGATGAAGCGGCAGTCGGGGTTTGATGGGTGGGAGTGCGGTTTTCCCTTGAAATGTCCCATTCAACCGAAGGAGAGAAGAGGCCAGAAGCAGTTGGCGGCGTGGGAAGCTCGAGTGGACTGGAGTCGTCCGCGGTAAATCCACCACCATCTTCTTCGATGACTTCACCGTGCTGAAGGGACATGTCGATGCAAGTGAAGGATTCGGGCCTTTGATGAGTTGGGAATTCAGTGTGGAGGCCATCGTGGAGTGGAGACGCAGACTCGACGAAGACAGGGGCGACGTCTTCCTGCTGGATGGTGAAAGTTTGATCGGCCGATGGAGGTCGCAGGTCCGGCAAGTCTGCAATGCCGACTACTTGATTGTCACTGGTGTGCCAAGTTGAATAGGCAGGGGACTGACCCGAAAGATCAAGATTTGGAGGAGACGACGTTGGTCCAAATGACTCGAACGGTGGAGATTCAGGCGGAGTTGTTGGCTGTACGCTTGCCTCTACCGATGTCTTGGATGGACCAGCTATCGGGTCCACGTACGAGTAGTACGGTTCCATCATCGACACTGATGGAGGTGTTCCAGGGGGGGTTGCTGGCGCGATCTTGGTAGACACTGGAACGGAGGTGGGAGATGTAACCGGAGGACGTGAAGCTTGGGCTGCACTGACAGGTGGAGGCTCAGTATATTTGAAGAATGGTTCCAGCATTGACGTGGTTGGCGGGGTGCCAGGGGGCGTTGTTGGCTCGAGCGACCAAGCAGGTACACAAGCCACCTTCGGTGTGGAAGGAGCCGCTGTCGCTTGGAGCGGAGGAGTACTTGGGTGGCCATGGGTCTCGACGGGGGACTCCACTGGTCCACTGGAGACTGAATGCGGTGGAGGCACGACATGTGTTGGCATCGGTCGCGATATCACAATCGATGCAGCATGAGCGGGGGAGAATACCAGAGTCGACGTAATGGGATGCAGTGTAGGCGACGACGAAGTGGCTGAACTTAATGGAGCCCGAGACACGATTACGGATGTTGCAATCGGAGATGCACAAGTCGGAGGCGTTGCTGAAGTTGAAGGGCCGAAGGAAACGTTTTCGACAGGCGAAAGGACCAGTTCTGAGGGTGCCGACGCGCTTGGGAATTCAAATGTGAGGGGTGGTGTTCCGGGGGGCGTTCCTGACGCTTTGTGGTGCACAGTCGGCGACCTTGAAGGTGACAGCACAGTCACACCAGGACCACTGGATGCACGAAGCGACACTGTCAATTGGTTGGACGGAGACATGGGCATCGACCCCCGGGCCAAACTAGAGTCTCGGGCAAACGACCAAGTGGGGGCATCGACGGCGTTTGTAAGATCGGTCGGAAATGGCGGTGGCACTGGAGGCACGTGTTCAGCTGCCACCGACGTGTCCACTAATGGGACTGTTGCAGGAGCCTGACAAACTTCCACGCCAGAATCGACTACTTTCGTGAGACGACTCGCGCATGATTCTTCGACATGGACGGCCTCAACGACTTGGTCGGCAGAGAAATCGATATGCTGCGACCTGGTGGGTTCGGGCAATGCTGGTGGGTTGATGGACGAGCCATGTGGCCTCGCTTTGCGCAAAAACGTCAGGACAGCAGGTTTTTGAATGCACTTGAGGAAGTCCACGGTGCCAGCCAACCCCAACGGAGTCGTCGGGACGCCCATCACTCCAATCAGGATGTCACCCACACCCAGCTCAGGGCGCTCCAGGGACAGTCCTTTGCCTGTAAGCTGCGCAATAAATATCTCAAACTGGTCATTCATGCGGAGGGTGATGCCGAGAGACCCACCGGCCCAATCCACCGAATACATCTTGTCCTCGCTGTCAATGCTCGCCGAGGCGGCCATGGCAAGGGACTGCCTCGGTGAGTCTGGCGGCAGCGCAGCGTCCAAATGGACTTCAGCGGGTTCAACGACAGTTGCATGGAGCTGGGACGCAGCTGCCGACGAAGAGCGCTGTCGCCGCCGTCGAAATCGCAACTTGATTGGCTTTGGTTGTTTCATGACCACGAGCGCTTCAGAATAACCAATCGTGCGCACCCGGAGATCATTGACGAATATCAATTCATCACCAGCTTGGATTTGGGCAAGTTCTGGGTCAGTCGCAGCTTCGGTACGTTCGCGAACCACAGCTCGGCCTTCTGGGTCGCAATGGACGCGTACACCAAGCTTCCCATCGCGCCACATCACTTCGTATTCCCCTCGCGACTGCTTGGACGCTGTTTGGGTCGCGGCTGCACCTGTCGACGTGGTGGGTGGTTGACGCTTGAAGGTCAGAGTTAAGGGGAAGTCTCGTTCTTTCAGTCGCGTCACAACGTTGTCGTAGGGAGAGGAAGTTACGTCGTCCCAATTGATGGCGATCAAGACGTCGCCGACGGAAGCCGCGTCCAAGTTGGCAGTCGTCTGTTGTTCGCCGGGGGTGATTTTGCGAATGACGGTCCGGTTCGACGACGCATATCGCAGCGAAATCGCAAGCTTGCCGCGGTGCCAAATGAGATCGTACGTGTCGATGGCAGGTGCAGAGGCTTGAGCCGCTGTTTTGGGCGGTAAGTACTTGGCTGCGACGCCGTCCGAGATGAAAGATTCATTCGAGACAGGATCTGTTGGCAGGGGGAGCACCACAACCGTCGATTCCCTGCAGCGCTCGCCGCGTGAAACTGGGACGACGTGTTGCGATGGATGGGAGGTCACGTGTTGAAACACGAGTTCCACGGGCTTTTGAACTGACTTCAAGAAATCCACAGTGCCGGTGAGACCCAGCGGTTTGGCCGGGACTCCCGTGATCGACACCAGTACGTCGCCTTCAGACATGATGGCTTCATGGAGTAAAGCCAGTCCTTTCTTCTTGATCTCCTTGACGTAAATGTCATTCACGTCGTTCTTTTTCAGCACAAGGCCCAATGGACCGTCTCGCCACACGACAGTGTACTTGTCTTTCTCTTGTGCTTCTGGCGGAACACGTCGCCGATGTGACTTTCCTGAGCCTGGTCGGGGCTGAGACGGATTCCGCGATGGAGCGACTGCAGGTGGCTGCTCCTGTTTCGGTGCCACCACCTCTCGTCGAAATCGCAGCAACACAGGCTTTTGGGCAAGTCGCAGTGCTGAGATCGCATCATTGTAGCTGATTTCACCCACGGCAATGTCATTGACAAAGATGAGCTCGTCCAGCGGTTGGATGGCGGCGACACCGGGGTCTGTGCTGGCCTCTTTGGCGTATTCACGAACGACTGGGCGCCCCGCAGAGTCACAAGCGATGACAACGCCGAGACGGCCAGATGTCCACACGGCTTCAAATTCATTGGGCTGGAGCGGCGGCATGCGACTCATGGAGGGGGCACGCTTCAGTCGGGAGATGGCAGGCTGCTGTGAAAAGCTCTGGAAGGTCAGAGTCATGGGAAGCTCAGCACGATTGAGGCGGCGCTGGACTTCTGATGGTGTCAGTGCGCTGACATCTTCCCAGTTGAGAGCGATGAGCACGTCGCCCAGCGCAGCGGAAGCTAAACCAGCAGTCGTTTCCTTGGGCTGGTTCGTTTCGATGTGTCGAATTGCAATCTGGTGTTTTGCATTGAGCGAAAACTGCAGGGCGAGGTCCCCTTGATGCCAAATGAGATCATACTGACTTGTCGCGGGGGTTGGTTCTGGTTCTTGTATATCCACAGGATGGCCTCGTTGTATCTGTCGTTGAGGATCTTGAGACGAATTTCCGCGACGAGGGCGTCTACGGTCGTGGTCGGCGCCGGCGGCACTCATGGACCCGTTGGACACGGCACGGCGGTCTGAGCTGCTTCCAGGATGGCTGTTCCACGACCCATTCGACTCGACTCGTCGATCTGACATCCCGCTATTGTTCAAGGACCGATCGGACCGCGATGCCGCATTGCTCCGGGCGTGTTGTCTGGTATCGTTAGACGATATCGACCGCGTGTTGTCCGTGACGACACTATTAGCCTTCTGGTTCTCTAGCAGGGACGATCCCCCACCGCCGACGGGCTTCTTCTTGATGGCCCGGTAGTTCTGCATGGCCTGCCCACGTCAGTTCCTTCAAACCAGATCAGTCGTGCGCTCTATTGAGCCACCTGCCGATGTATTCTTATCCAGCCAATCACGACGCGCCATTCGAGGAACAAATCGGCAAATCTCTGGCGCTGTCGCGGAACATGCGGCGACGACATGTTGGCACGAATTCGTGGGAAGCAGAGGAAAGCACGATGGACGGCGGGCGATATCGAATGCGCCACAGATCATACTCCCTGACGGACAAAGGATGATCGCAGCACCAGCGCGTCAAGTGGTCTACATCGAGATGTTCGACGCACCATCATGTAGAAGCAGGAGAATCGCAGCACGTTGTTGCACACGTGGATTCGTCGTGGCAGGTCGAGCTGAATGTTGGCTTGACCGCGTGCGGTGAGTTTATCCACCATAGCTCGATGGAACAGGTCTGTCGCTCCATGCACACATAGTTTCATGAACATGTCGTGGAACATGAGCACCTCCCAACATCTGCACACTTCCTTGATCGTACAATAGGTATCCATTGGCGAGACGAAGGTCATCTTGCTTGTGACGGCGATGCAGTGCGTTCCCATCTCGTGTCGACGTTGCCCAAGGCTCCCCCACGTTTATGCACACACTTCGTCGTCCCTAGCCAGCAATATCGGGGGTTGACCATCATGCCGGCGACTTTCCAGTCATCTCTGCTCCGCGTGGGCATGACCTGTGACAGCCTTTCTCGACGTCGCCGCCGCGGCTTTCGCGCGCGCCAGGATCGCGGCGGATCTTTTGAAATGGCGCGTTTTGATTGGTGGACACCAGTGCAAATTCTGACTTGATTAAAGTATACTCCCAAAAGACTGGTGGACTGGACCTCCCCCTCCCTTCTTGGGTGAATCGGCACAACGCTGTATGGCGAGGATGGCATCGGAAGGCGACGAGTACGAGGAAGAGGAGGAAAAGTGGTCACAATGGTTTTGTGGGCTGCCCGGGAACGAGTACTTCTGTGAGATCAACCCGGCTTACATTGAGGACTCGTTCAACTTGTACGGCTTGCGAGCGTTGGTGAGCAACTACCAAGACGCATTGAACATAATCCTCGACCTCACAGGTGCGGTCAAGTCATAGCGTTGAGTTTGTGAGACACTGACTTCGTGCGATAGACATCCCGTATGACGATGATGTCCCGTCGTGTGCGGCCGAACTGTATGGACTTATCCACGCCCGATACATCATCACAAGTCACGGCCTCGACGCCATGCACAAGAAGTTCCAAGACGGCGACTTTGGATTTTGCCCGCGAGCGCTGTGCGATGGTCAACCTGTTGTTCCTGCTGGCATGTACGACGAGCCGAAGAAGGCCGAGATGAAGGTGTATTGCCCCAAATGCAGAGACTTGTACACGCCGTCCGTGGACTTTGAGAGCGCTACGAGTACGTCCCTCTTGACGAGTTTGCACATGATCCGGACAACTGTGTTGTAGTTGACGGCGCGTACTTTGGGTCAACGTTTCCACACTTGTTCTTTTTGACGTACAGAAACCTCGAACCGGCGCCGTCGACGCATTTGTACGTGCCGCGCGTGTTCGGGTACAAGATTCACAGAAAGGGCCCAAACCGACAGCGGCTGGCGACAACGGCCACTAAAGTGCTAGAGAACGGGGAACAGGTATGCGCGTGCTTGTTGTATGTAGATTAATTCGACTGTGAAGGTCGAGGATAATGACCCCCTCTGTTAGCGGCCAGGGGGCGACAAACCCGACGACGCCGTGGACGCCGCCCAGAACTATAGTGACCAAGCCTCGCGCAGTAAGAAGCGAGTGAAGCATGAAACATAATGGAGGACTGGTCTGATTCATCCTGTCTCTCCGTCCAACGCCTCGGGCGCCGCCTCGAAAGACACCTTCGCTTCTGCCTGCACTCCGCCTCCTGTCCACGTTTATTCAGAACGGCGGAAAATGCATGGAATCCGTCGCTTGGACTTCATGCAGTTGGAAATTAGCCATAAATATATTGAATCCATACACAATTTCTTGCAGCAAGTATATGTGTGCTGTCTTGGACGGTTCATTGTCTCCATCGCAGTTGTGTGCCTTCAGCTAGCCCAGCACCTGCTTTGGATCTGTTCATGGCAGCATTTCACGGCAAAGCAAGATCTGCTCTGTTTTGGTAGTCCACCATGCCGCCGCCTATGCGTTCTTTTGAATGGATGAGCTGCCGCTGTACGACGCCAGGAGAAATGATGCCATGGCGCCGCCGAACATGCCGCACTCAACACTTCAAAGGTGGATATTCTGCGCTCTCGTTAGAGTCTAACGCGTTCAACAGTCTCTCTGGGAAGGCCCTCGGCATGGAACACAACGTCTTCGCGCAGGAATCGACACACGCCCTCTCGTTCGCACGCCGTCCTGTTCGACCGACCTTCGTTCTCATTGCAAGAATACCATCATTCACATGTAACGACCGTCATTCACTGCCATTCGAAAGGGCATGCTAGACCGGCTCAATTCAGCATCTTCCACGACCACGACAAGCGTCATGACGGCCATCGCCCCCTCGATCGAACGGCTTCGCGACTCGCTGCAGGTCGACTCCTCCGACGTCAACCTTGTCAAGGCCGTCGGAGGCGCCACCAGCCCCGTCACGTCATGCAGCTCGTCGAGCAGCGATCGTCGACACATGTGTGTGTGCGACGTGTGTTTCGACGACGTCGCCCAAGACGACATGATTCACAAGATTTGTGGACCTACTTGCCCTGCCATGTTGTGCAGCACATGCACGCGCTCGTACGTCAAAATGCAAGCCAAAGATGCCGTCCCTGGTGTGCTCGCCAAGTTGAACTGTCCAGTCTGCATCGTCCCAGTCAACATCATGCGTTGGCGCCGTCGCCTCAGCTCGCTCAGCTTCATGAACGATGACTCCGTGGATGCATTTTGCGCCAAGGTCGAGCGATCGTGTGAAGTCAGGTGTCCCGGGTGTGACACGAACCGCTCGCAGCTACCAAAGAGCGCACGCAACGTGCCAAAATTGAAATTGCTGCCGTCCCAGGCGGTCCACATTCCTCGTCTGCGCGACCTTTGCTTTGAGTTCTGCCTCCATCGTGTCGCGGCTGCCGACGTGGTGGTGTTTGCACAATCCACGTTCGGAGCCGACATCGGGCTGTCCATCGTCGAGACTATGCTTCCACTCTTTCACGACCCCGAGCGCCGCGCATCCATGTACCTCCGCCTGCGTCGGCAGAATCCGTTCATTTATACAATGTGCTGCAAGGCTCCCGTGTGCTTCTTTTGCCATGTGGCTGGGCATCACAACGGCATTGCATGTGGCGGTGTGTCTCCCGACCTGCTCGACAGCATTGTCGAATGTGAAGATTGTGGGCTGCAATTGGTCAAGGGCGATGGGTGTGACAGCGTGCAGTGCTACTGCGGTGTGAACTTTCAATGGAGCGTCGAGGTCTTGAAGACTCCAATGCGGTCCATGATGCGCAGCCTGCAACCATTCCGGCGAAAACTTCGGTACCACATCAGTCGTTGGGTCCAACGTCTTCGGAAGAATCGTGCGCTGGAAGAGATCAAGTGCCGCTATTTGAGGATAGAGGCCAAGGAGTTCTGGAAATTGTATCGAGAAACTCATCCAGATGAGGTGCAGGATGTCGACGACGAACTGTCGTTGATGATGTCGATGGACTTTGAAGGTTGTTAAATGCAATCAGATGTGACCACGAATGCACGCCACCGCCGAACTTTGACTAGCCAAGAGCAACTTGACATCATTCGTCTCCATGCGTCCTTCACAGGTCAGGAAGAGGAAGCGCCACGAGCACGGACCGACGCTTTGACGTAGCGGAATCGTTTCGAGTTTGTTGACATCGACTAAATTTCCACTCGTTGATTCAAGCAACGACGCCATTGGTCGATTCAAGGATACGACGTGATGATTGGCTAAGATATCAATAACATGCGGTCGAATCCAGGCATGGAGGGATGCCGATGAAGCCATCACAACAATCACCCGACAAGCC